GAAGGGCTGGGGAGGAGTCACCTTAGAGTTATATTTAATAACAAGATTTATGACCCAAACTCAAAGCTTTTAAAATAAATCATTCCCAAATCCATTTGACAAGGCTTTCAAGTATTATCTACCAATAAATTAGAAGTGGAAATTGACCTAGAGGCAAATGCACACAAAATATGGAAACAGGAGCCAATGGCCTGTTATTCCTGCAAAGGAAATACCCAGTTGAGCAATGTCCTTGTGGAACACTAAACTAAACTTTGCCTGGCTGCACACATTTTGATTATAATGGGATGCCAACAGCTCTTACAAAGGCTGTAACAATCCAAATTGTGTGCAGTGAAGGAGGGTGAGTTCCTGGTCTTTGGGAGTGGGAGGTGCTTGGTAAATGATTATGGAATGAATCTCCCTTCCCCCACCCTTCAGAAAGGACAGTTTCTCATGCACTAATCAATCTAACTCTGTTAATAACCAGTCTCTTTGCTGGAAAAGAAAGCCTTAATTTAATTTATTTGCTACAGAAAGTAGCAAATTGCCTTTTTTTTCTTTTTTTTTTCATGGAGACACACATTTATGCACAGGGCTAGTGCCTTTTCTGTGACAGAAAGTGAAACGGTGTGTGAGCTTTGTTGCAGGGCAAATTCGGATATGGACGGTGGGACCTTCTTAGCTGTTGAATTAATCCTACGTGAAATCAATGCTCAAACATATCCAGGCTTGAAGCCAGAAATGTTTGGGGAAATTGTTTGCTATCATGACTGTTAGTTTTCCCAAGCACACTGAAGGGGAAAACAGCAGCTCTCTGAACTGATAGTGCTTTAATTATTTATTAAAGTCACATTATGTTAAGAACAAAAACTGAGCTGAAAAATCTACAAGTGAGCTGAAATGAGCATATTCATGCTCACTCTCTACTTACAGCAGTGGGTAAATAGTGGTATACATAGCTCATTCAGTTTGTCGTGAACCACCAATGTCTCAACAGGATGCTTTTACCAAGCCAAAAAACAAAGGAACCAGAATAGGTCAATTAATCAAAGCAGTTTCTATCTTTATAATTCCTTTATTTGTTAGTGTAACTGGATCAGAAAAAAGTCTGATCTGTCTCATGGCCCAGGTGAATCAGTGCCTGAGCATCTCTTAGGAAATATGACTGATGCCAGTTTTTCTCTGTGCTGTGTGGAGGGTGCTCAGCTCCTTGCAAGGCTGGGCTTGTACAGCTGCATCCTCATACACAGTGGTGCTATAATCATCTTTATTCAGTTGGAGGCATATTTATCCCAATTCTGCTCCAGAGTTTATTGTTGACTGGCGTAAGCTGGGCAGACATGGGCTTCTACTGATCTATTCTAACTGAATTTGCCAATGGTCATGTTTCTGCCTGTCCTGGGACCTGATTCAATTTCTGCTGAAGTGAATGAATGAGCAAATGAATGAAATCACCACTCAGAACCTACCTACTCAAGCTTATTTCCAAGATGGGTTTTAAGGGATTCAGTAAAATTATATTGTACCTTTAGGATAAATTATAGTTTGTCACTCATATAGGGAATCATTGCCCATAGGAAAGTGACTCATAGAGTCATTAATTAAAATTCACCTGTAATACAAATAATGGGGGGTTTAAATGAAATAGCAAAAAAGGAAGAAATAGCACTATCAGTAATCACAGAAATAAACTTGCAAGTAATTTTATATGCCATGTTCTCCACTTCATCACATTAATTTTATTACAGTCTAGCACCATTCAGAAATATTATCCCGGCATGAAATTAGATGCCTTATGGAGCAATCTCACAAAATAATTCTGTCTGCAGTTTTAATATTAATATTTTGAGCAGCATTTAAATATATGGATACATCAATTTTACCATTTAGGAGCTTCATTTTCATAACCAAAATGGCATCTATATTCCTCTATGGGTATTTCATGAGCTATATAGGATTGGTATTTTGTACTTTTTTGCTGTCATTGGAAAATTAATGTTCATAAAGTACGTAGAGCTTAAAGATAAGAAATTTCTAGCATAGTTCAGTTTCCTAAGCCTGTCTCTGTGTGTTAACTGCTTCTTTTTTTCTTTTTCTTCTTTATTTAAAGGAAATATTTTAAATATGGCAGAAACTAAAACCTTCCAGCCTGGAGCAGCCTGCACTCTCACCTTTTTCTTTGTCCTCATCTGTTGGGTTGATGCAGCTTCCTTCCAGCAGCATCAGCTGCTTCAGAAAGATCCAGACTATGTAATGAAAAACTTACAAAGACTCCCAAATCCTGATATGATCAAAGCACTGGAATACATAGAAGATCTTCGCAAGCAAGCTAACAAGGGAGAAAGCAGCCCTGATTACAGCTCTTATCAAAGTGTCCCATATCTCCTGCAACAGAAAGAAAGCAAGGATCAGACTCACCTACCAGATAATGTAAGGGATTCTTTGACTGAAGATGAGTCCCAGTGGGTTAAGGTAATGTTGGAAGCCTTGCGGCAAGCTGAGAAAGAGTCAAAAGCTGGCCCAAAGGAGAATAAACCTTACGGTCTGAGTTCAGATAACAGCTTTCCAGCTGGAGTAAGTGATGATTACGAGGCTTACAAGTGGCCTGAGAGGTGGCAAAAGTATCTCAAAATGCCACTTGGGCACTACGAAGACAGTTCAAGAGACAGTCCTTTCAAGCGTACCAATGAAATCGTGGAAGAGCAGTACACCCCCCAAAGCCTTGCCACGCTGGAGTCTGTGTTTCAGGAGTTGGGGAAGATGGCAGGACCGAGTAACCACAAGAAAGAAAGGCTGGATGAGGACCAGAAATTGTACACAGATGATGAAGATGATGTGTATAAAGTGAATAACATTGCCTATGAAGATGTGGTTGGAGGAGAAGATTGGAATCCCATAGAGGAAAAAGTGGAAAGCCAAACCCAGGAAGAGATAAAAGACAGCAAAGAGGAAATTGATAAACATGAAGAGGAGATTGATGATGAAATGAAAAGATCAGGGAAGCTCAACTTCCTTGAGGATGAAATAAGAAGAGACAATAAAGATCAAATGTCAGAGGATGTTTCAAAGCTAATGAATTATTACCTGAAGAGGCTGATGGGTAGTGCTGGGAATAGGAAATTAAGGACTGGAGAACTTGAGGAAAAAAGAGCATCAATGTTTTTGGATAAACAACTTGATCCTCAGTCTATAGCTCAGCTGATAGAAATCTCAAGGAATTTACAAATTCCTCCTGAGGATTTAATAGACATATTGAAAGCTGGAGAAAAAAAGCAGCTTCAGAGTGAAAGGTTGGAAGCTGAGCAGGAAGTAGAATTCCCAGAAGACCTCGACGAGATAGCTGAAACCAATCTAGGACAGAGCGATATATTTAAAAATAATGTAAACTCTAAAAACGGGTACATGAAGCAGCCTCTTATTCCAGAAAATCTACCTGAAGACCTCAATATTGAAGATATTGTCAGTCTTCTGGGAAATGACAATTTAGCTAATCAGAATCCCTCCTATTTACTAAATCGTCTTAATCAAGACAATGATTTGCCAAGACTGTCTTACATTCCCAGAAGATTGAAAGGACACCTGTTTCCTAAAGCTGCCTGGATGAACGATTTGGAAAGGCGACAAATGGAATATGAGAAACTGAATGAGAAGGACGAAGAACTGGCTGATTACTTGGCCAAGGTGTTGGCAAAATATCCCGAAGTAATCAATACGAACCAGATGAAACGAGTCCCAGCTTCTGAAAGCAACCTGCAGGAAGATGATCACCTGGAGCAGGCCATCAGAGAGCACCTAAATCAGCTGGAACCACAGGAGGCTGCGAAGTTGGCTTCGCTCAGCAAAAGGCTCTCCATGGCAGGGGAAGCCGATGACACACAGAACAGGCAGTATCTGGATGAGGATATGCTAGCAAAGGTGCTAGAGTATCTAAAACAGGAGAAATCAGAGCTTGAAAGAGATCACATTACTAAGCGAGCGATGGAAAACATGTAATTGTTCCCCAAATACTATTTCTCTTCAATGTGTTGACTTCTATCCCGATTCAGTTGTGATTTATTCCTGCTCTCCCACTAAACAACTATGGTAGACTATTTACCATTGAACAGTCTGCATATCTTTCTCAGAGCTGTTATATTGTTTATTGATATACTTATATGTTATAAATTATGGGGCAAACAACAAATTGCTTCAAGTGTTTTAAGAAAAAATTTAATGATATCAAGTAAAACTATAATATGTAAACAAATTACCTTTGCATTGTTAATAAAACATGATAAATGAAGAGTGACAATTATAATTTGAAATTTTTAAGATTAATTGGATTATTTTGTTACTGTCTGTAGTGTTTTTTGTGGAGTATCGAATAAAAAAATAAAGCATTATATATATATAGTTTTATTTACAAGGCTTTTTCTATTCAGTGTTTTATTGTTGATGAATAAATTATTTCTGGACAATCGACTGTGTTTCTTTGTGACAGTTGATAAAGTCATACTAATTGGAAACATATTTTTACTTCTACAGATGACTCTTCTGAAATATACTACTTTTCCCATAGAATATAGTTGGTAGCATAAACTTCGGGTTTTCTGGGCTGTAAGAATACCAACTGGCATTATCCTTAAGGGCAGTGATGGCAACCACAAGGAAAGAGCCAGGCTCCAAGAAAAGGCAGGCAGGGAACTCATCTGTAAGGAACACCATGGGTTTGTCTGATAAAAATACTTTTGTGAAATGTCTATTACATGTATACATAAGTACACAAACAACCTTTGTTATTCAGTACACTACTTTGGACACTTGAAATGTCTTTTGATCTCCTGTTATGACCTGCAGTAGATGGTCTGGAAAGGTTCTGGCTCTTTTACAGAAGGAAATGTGCTTGTGTAACTCTGTGACTCAGAAGTGATTTTCACTAGGACAGCTCATTTCCAGGATTATAGTTTAAAAGTGGTTTTCCCTGTGGTATTCTTCAGCAGCTCATCTCTGCTAAGTGGGGTGGGGATGATTTTTGGCTAGGCAATGTCTAATCAAGCAAAGTACAAAGGCTGCAGAAATAAAACTTCATCTTCAGTGCCACCATTACTGTGAGCAATTGCAGCCGACAGGAGCTCAGTCAGAGCTCTTGCTCTGGGCCACTCCAAAATCCTCCAGTTTCCTGTTACTTGGACAAGTCAAAACATTAAACATTAAACTGAAAAAATACCGGAGTTAATTTCATGTCTGTTTTCTAAAGGAAGACAACCTGCTGAGATTCACTTGCTTGTGACACTGGGAATTTGGAATCACTGTATTTTATTCAAAACAAAACTGTGTTTTTAACAAATCATATTTTTTATCACCTTGATTCCTAATATTTTTAGTCTCCTTATTCCTAACACTGCTCCTGCAATACTCATAGTCTAGAAAAATGTCTTTCAGTCAAATCAGTAACATTTAATACTTAAATATGTAATATGTAAAACTGGGGATGAGTAATAAAAACAGGAGTACTGAGACGTAAATAAATGTTTGCCGTTTTCAGTGAAGAAGTTTCCCAATTTCACATCTGCCTTCCAAGGTCATATTTAAACAGGAGACTTTACTTACTCCCCACATCCACACCCTCAGACAGCATACCACAGCTGAACTCCATAGCCACTTGACAGACACTTTGTTTTTCCAGGGCTGTAGTTAAATGCTGGAAGGGGTTCTACCTGCAGCATCAGAGCTGGCTGTGCATGTGCCTGGTTCTCCTGGGCGTAGTGAGGGCATCTTCCCACCACTTCACCTCACACACCAAATGTGGAGTGGTTTGTCAATCTCTGCAGAACATTTCTCCCTGAAGAAGAGTTTTATTGGAAAGGCTGACTGCAAAGGCTCCATTTGTGTCCAGGGAGCAGTCTGCCACTCCATGGCTCAGCTTGGTGAGAGACCAAGGGCTCTGTGATGACCGTACAGAAGCTCTCGTGCTCCTGCAGCCTCCAGGCCTGGGGATCTGGTCCCCTGGACCTGGTTGCAACCTGTGTGCTGCAGTGTGGGGCTGGCACTGCAGAGCAGCCCGAGGTAGGGCAGGATCCCAGGAGTCACAGCTTCACTGGAGGCGTATGGTGGTGGCAAACGTGCTGCTCAACACACTTAGTAAACACTATCATGATACCAGACTAAAAAATTAAAAATATATTTCGCAGGACTTGGGCAAAGCTCACTGAAGACAATCTTCTCCCTGACTCTTGCACACACCCTAAAACATCACATTTCTTCTGCCTCAGGCAGCTCAAAGCATGAGCAGGGTGTCAAGGAGACGCTGAATGTGTTCTTTTTGTAGCAGTAACCTTAAAGCATGTAAGTGTATGTGTGCCCTCTGCCCCCAGCTCTAAGTAGACAGTGAAGTCACCCATCAAAGCTAACACCTTGCACCACTCCTGCTACCACCATACAGGCATGCTGCTGGGTTTGTGCTCATGGCTAAAATACATACATTTTTATCCATTTTTTTCACAGTGAAAATTAAAACCACAATTTTTTCCTTTTGTTGCCCTCCTTTCTTTCATTGGTGATGTAAAATGTTGCTTAAAAAAGGAGTTTTTCCCCTTACCCTCATCCTGCAGGGCTGAGCAGGACGTGGCTATGGCAGTGGGAGGCAGCCCAATCACAGTGCTGAGGAAATGAAGGTGAAAATGCTTCAATGTGCCAACCTTTGCTTATATTTGGTCCTAAAACTGCCCTTAGATGACCTCTGTCCCAACCCAGCCAGCCTTGCTGTGGGTCTCTGCACTGTGCTGTGATGCTCCTCTTCCTCTTGAGCTGATATTTGTGGTACCATAGTTCCCCTAATGCCACCAAAGTTTAGACTGGATATTAGGAAGAAACTCTTTACTGTGAGGATGGTGAGGCACTGGAACAGTGTGCCCAGAGAAGGCTCATCCTTGGAAATGCTCAAGGCCAGGTTGGATGGGGCTGTGAGCAATTTGATCTAGTGGAAGCTGTCCCTGCCCATGTCAGGGGTATTAGAACTAGGTGATGTTTAAGGTCCCTTCCAACCCAAACCATTCTGTGATTCTACTTCTTTAGCTGATTTGTTTCAAAAAAATTATTCCAGTGAAGAGGCAGAGGTTCACAGGTCCACGTTCCAGCCATTCTTCCTTGAACATATACCAGACAATAATAAAGCTAATTCTCAAGGTGTGTGTAGGACCTGGAGGAGATGTCACTCATGGTGAAGCATGACTGGTGGTAGTTTTATTAGCTTCATTCCCCTCCTGCCATAGGCTGGGCTACTCAGGCTCCTGAGCTGACCAAAGCCCTGGGGAGCTGTTTGGTTGCCTCCAGGCTCTTATTCAGGAAGAGCTCAATGAAAATTTTGGACACCAGAAGGATTTTGGATCTAAGGAACCAGCAGTACAAACCTATGCATAAAAGGACAGATTCTGTCAGACACTGAGCAGAAGAGGAAATAAGCTGTGGAAAATTCAAATCTTGGCATGAGTAACTACATCACTTCATAGAAGACCACCTCATGTGCGAGCCATTAGGGACTTTATTGTTTGTGGTTCATCTTCATAAACAAGAAAAGGGATGTTGTGCTTGAAATAACAGAATTATACATTGTATAACGGAACTGCATGGAAGCTTCAAACAGATTTCAACCTAAAAAGTGACATCAGTACCCTTTCCTCTTCAAACCACAGAAAGTGGACAACTAATCTCCCTATGAAGTACTTTATTTCTAACAAACTCATTTCCAACTCCATATTGAAATTAAATTAAATGAGCAAATATTAAATAGGCAGCACCCTCTTGGTAGCTGTAGCTGCCTCTTGCTATTCAACTAAAGCTCCCACAGAAAAACAGATAGTTATACCTGAATATGCAAGACAGCATTATCCAAATGTATATCCTATCATGAGATCTGCTCCATTAAACCACTCCATGGTCACCCCCTGCAGAGAGTCTGTGTAGTGCTTAATTGCTCTTAATAGCCATGGCTGCTTCTGCTTTCATTTGTCTGTGGTTTATGTTTTCCTTATGGGTGTAGTGGGACAAACAGTCATGTTGTTAATAATGCACACAGAATGCATAATCCATAACAGATACACTATCAAGCTTATTATTGTAATTATATACAAAATAAAGTGACCATCCTGCAATTTTTACTCAGGCAAAGTAAGGAGAAGATTTTTAATTCCTCTTGTGTGCTATGATTTGACAGCATCCCAGATGCAGCTGGTTTGTACTCTCTATCAGTGACTTTTGTCCAGCAAAGAAAATGTTTCTGCTTACATCTTCCTCTTAAAACTTGCACTAAGCTTCATTGTGTCCTCACATCTAAGGTCCTCCCCAACATGCAGATTGAACAGAAATTCTTCATTTTGTCTGAATATAACAAGCTACTGAACACCTTCCTCAAGGCATGAGGCAGTTCTTCTTTGTACATATATTAGAATTCATTCTATTGGTACCCATAAGAGTTAATATGTTTTTGGTTTTCCATTAATTCATATGCTACTACAAGTGCTTTGTTTACATCTGCATCTCGAAGGCTCCATTATTTTGTCAGCCAGAGCTCTTAAATGAGAACACTTGTTGATTCAAAAATTAATGTAACCAAATTGCCTCGTCTGGAGAAATGAGACTGCTGCAATTATTTGCTTCTAAAAGGGTATTTCCACATTGCAGTGGAAGGGGTTTGAATTGCATGTAAGATGACAGTTGCTAGTATTTCCCAAAGCACTTTACGAGACACCTCATTTTGCAGGAGAAGTGACATAAACCATCTATGGTTTTCTCAACACGCGAAAGGGGGACCCCAAGCTGGAGCAGGGATGCTCTGAGCTGTGCTTTGTCTCACAGCTTCATTGTGCCATTCTTGCTGTTGCTAACTAAACAGAATACTCATGCTTCAAACCTGCCTCTCCAGACACACCTTACAAAGCCCAGTCTTCCATCAGTTCAGGTCAAACCTGACATTTTGGGAATGGAGGAGTTCTGTGGAAAAGTGATGTGCAGTGATGACTGCATGTGGGAACGTTCCCTGGAGCATCCCGTACCTTCCCCCAAAGCTGCACAACACCTATCAGTGGCTATTTACTCCATGGTGCATAAATCTGTACAGACACAGCTGGGTGCCAGCTGCAGTTTGCATTTGTTCAGCTACCCAAGTGCCTCCAGAGAGGTTAATCTGAGCTACAGGAACTCCAGTTAGCAGCAGCAGGCAGGTGCAGAGCCTCTAGTGCATAAAGTGGAAAGGAGAAGCCTCGAATCAGAGCTGATTAGCTAAAGAGCCATGTTATTCCTGACTTTTGGATCATTCAAAAACATTTGAGATCATTAATAATTCATTTGCAGATGTAGCAGAGCTCTAAATGTGGCTGATTAAATGCATTTGACGTTTCTCTTGAGAGAGGTTGTTATTCCAGGAAACCACTTGGTATCTGCAAATGTCTTGGAATTAATGTACTCAAAATTACAGGTTCACTCACAGCGTTTTCCCTTGTAAAGAAAGGAAAGTGACCTCTGATTCCAAATGTAATGTACCCTGGTGAATAACTATAGCACAATTATTTTAAGTTCCCCACAGCCTCAGCAGATCTGCTATGTAATGACGTGATTCAACACAGAGGACTCTGCCTTCCTCTGCTAAGAAAAAAACATGCAGACAGTGAACCAGGCAGGTCCTACACACCCAGGGAAGGAGAGCTTAAAAAGTGGTTGTTTGGCAACTCACAGCTCCTACAATTGCTGCTCTGTGATATGCTTCCCAAAAGCCTTCCTGGCATCTGCCTAAAAATAGAGCCCATGTGTTATCCCGGCAGAGAAGCCAACCTCTCTTGGGGCACCTTGGTCCTCTGGGTCGGATGAGCAGGATCCAAAACAGGATCTGAAAGAAATAATGAGCTTTATACCACCTTTGCATTTCCCTGATTATGTCAGCAAACCTGGGTCCAGTGGATTTGTTTGGCTTCATGCTTAAGTTAGAGTAAATCTCTTCTGGTGTAGCTGTGGGGTGCATTTCGTGCCACTCCATTTAAATGTTTAATGAGAACTAAGGATTTATGCAAACTTGAGCATGCATTTTTCAAGTGGGTCACCCACATTAGGGCAGTTTTCCTACTACTCTGCTTAGTGCAGTCACCACCACCAGGGCATCTCATCTACTGCAAACAGTGGGATCCTCCCCTGACAGGACTTTGCTCAGCGTCACCTTGGTAAAGCCTTTTTGGGTTATTTTCCTCTTGCCCTAAGTTCATTCCAACACACAGAAAGGAGGGACACTGCATCTGTCTGTTGAGATCTCCAGGTGAAACATATGGTCATTCTTTTTTTGTCTATTAAAACTCATTCCAAAACCATATTTCCTTCAAGTGGACCTTTTTTCCTAGCTCAAATTTCAGATTCCATTTAGTTTCACACTGTAAATCTGTTGACCCTGAATGCAAAAAGAAACTTCCCATCCCTGCTTTTCTCTCTCCTCTTTGACCTAAGAGAAGGTGTGAGACTGTTGGACAAGATGCAACATATAATTTCTGCAAAGAACACATTTTCTACCATGGCTGCATGTTTTGCCACCTGCTAATAAATGTCATAGAGCACAACAAACCTCTTAGACATTACCAGCACTTGTACTCCCATATTAAGTATGTAAGAGCCAGGCCAGGAACAGTGTGTACAGACACTCAAAAAGATAAAAATAAAGATAAATCACCAAAGGGGATAAATCCAAAATTCCTTGCTTGTTATTTATGTGGCATAACCACAGGAGATGTGTTAAATCCCTGCTAGTAAATTTTGGGATGTAAATGTAATCTGACAGGAAAACTGTTTTCTGCAAGGTTAAATTTATTCAGATCCAACACACTATCAATTGATTTTTTCCTTACAAATACAAATGCAACAAGGTGGAAACTTTCTGCTAATGACTAACACACTGAAAGAGGCTAAGCAAAAAAAAGAAAAATCAGAAATTTTATTCTGTAAGTAAGTCTGCAACTACCACCATATTCCACCAGTTAATTTAGGCAATATAAATGTTACTGTGCAAACTCACAAGCCTTTTAGTCTCACCCATGGCCCTGGACTTTGCTTTCCTACAAGAAGTAGTCAGGCTAAACTTCGTTTATTTTTGGTTTTCTAATTTCTATTTAAAACATACCAGCCCCCTGGC